CTCTCTCTCTCTCTCTCTCTCTCTCTCTCTCTCTCTCTCTCTCTCTCAGACAGGATCTTATGATATATATAGACCAGACTGTCTTTGAACTCACGATCATCTTCCTTCTATTTTCTTAGAAAATGCTAGGATGGCTGGGGTGAGCCACACCTGGGTTTAGTTGTAGAATTTGAGGTCCATCCTAAGATTATGGGGAAACCCTGAAGTCTTTCAAAGGTGCTAAACATGATATATGATCTTAAGTGCCAAGGGGGATAGGAAAAGAAGATGTGCTAACCCCTGAGGGCTAAGCCTCACTATGTTGTGTGGATGGAAACCATTTAAGGCTGTGCAGTGCCCAACCTGTGCAGTCTCATTCGACAGTCTCTTTTGTCATGGGTGCAGGATACTCAGATGGCAGTCATCGCTGCTAGGAATGGGCAGGACACGTCTTTACCAGCTCCATGGCTCTTCCTAAACTCCCTGGCTATCACTATCCGTCCCATTTCAGTCAAAACAAGCCCAGAACACACAGAGTGGGGATGGAGCCTAGTGAGTGGAGTGCTCCCTTAGCATGCTTCAGGCTCAGGTTGACGGCCAGCATCATGTAACTGGGTGTGGTGGCACACACCTATAATCCCAGCATTCAGAAGGTGGGGGCAAGGAGGATCAGAAATTCAACATCATCTTCAGCTACCTAACAAGTCTGAGGGTATATTGAGCTAGGTTAGACCCTGCCTCAAAAATAATCAAATGGTTAGAAAAATGGCTCAGTGGTTAAAATCACTTGCTGCACTAGTAGAGGACCTAAGTTTAGTTTCCTGCACCTACCTGGTGGCTCACAACTATCAGTTCCAGGGGATCTGATGCCCTCTTCTGACCTCCAAGAGTACCAGGCACACACACGGTGCACAGTCATACACGCTGTCGAAAACACTCAGGGCTCCCAGTGTTTGTCTGACCAACCACAGGCCATCCTCCTCTGACCTCACCTTTCCCCAGGCATGGATCCTTCTCGAGAGTACCCTCTGTGGTACAAGAGTATTGTGTCCCTGTGGATCGATCCTCTCTGGGATGGCCTGCCTGGTCTGATCATCAAACTGACCCTGTTCCAGTTGGTGATACTGGGGGATGTGGGCACCTGCTCACACTGCTCCAAGAGGAACTTGAAGGCAGAAAGCAGAAGCCAGGCCAAGAAGGGAAACATGGCATTCTGTGTGGAGGCTACTGCTATGAGGGGTCTGAGGGAGTCATACAGCATCTTGAAACTTCTGCTCAGGTTATGAGCTGGGAAAAGGACAACTAGCTGTATTTCACAGTTGCTGGGTCTTCCTTCCCAGAGTTCTAATTTTAAGCAGTATTTACCATCCTTCCTTCCAGCTAGGTTCAGCTAGATGATAATTCAAGTCTATCCATAGGTTACTTACCATGCAACTTACAGGATGTGACTTTGGAAATAAAGAACTCGCCCCTCTTTCCTTACTTTATTCTCTTCTGCAGTGTTGACACAGTCCTTCTGCAGTGTTGATGTGGTCCTTCTGCAGTGTTGACCTGCTGACTGAAACTCTAGCAACCGTTTTGCATGAGGTAGAGGCCATGGTGACAGAAATTGGTTGCACAGTAGCAAAAGAAGCTTGAACTCCTGGTCATCACGATGTCATTGTAGCAGACAAGAACTAAGCACCAGTTGACTTGATTCATGTGAAACCAATAAATCTCATATTTGAAACCGTTGTTTAAGTGTCTATGACACAGTGAAATCTAAATTCACAATTTTACATATGTACCCCAAAACAGACTACAATGAAGGCTGTCACCTACACAGAAAGGCAATGCCTGCCCCGTCAGAGCTTGCCCAGGTTTGGTGGAGAGATTGACAGAGGGGACTAGAGATTCCTGACCCCTCCACCCTCAGACACTACAGGGGAATTCACAGGGCTTTATGATGATCCCCAGGGCCGATCCAGAAAACAAGTATAGCAAAAACCTGGATAACTACTGGATCCTTAAGCCACAGAGAAGCATGGGTGGACCTATGACCTGTCCCTGCCTCCACTTCATTCTTTGCCTTGGAAGGCTCAGTTTAAACAGCCCAACGGTCTGCACTGTGTTCTCCCCATGTCTGCAGTTTTCCTGACTCTCCTCTGACACTGCAACTACAGCAGCACAGAGTGGGTCTCTGCAATCCAACCATGTGCATGCACGCTCCCCAGGCCTAGGTAGCACCCTGGGGTTTACCTGAGCTGTTGAGGCCCTAGTTGGCACCTGTGACTCTTTCCTCCCTCACTCCGATAGGGATTCTACCCTCTGTGTACTAACTCCTCAGACCTAGGGCCTCCTGGAACTGGATCAGTGGCAGCCTTTTGGCCAAGAAAGCCTGGAAGGCTGTTACACCACCCTGCTTGCGCCATCTGATCCACTCCTAGGTGGGCCAAGGCCAGGCAGGTCCAGAGCCAGACCAGAGTAAAGGCCATGGCCCAGGCCCTCTTCCAGAGACTTTGGGTCTGGATAGAGGAAGCAAGGATGATGCAGAGGTGTGCTCTCCACAAATAGGACCTGGCAATTCAATGCTCAGGAGTCTCTAGTTGGCCTCTGTTCCTTTGTCCTCCAGCCAGGTCCTCTTGGAAAAGCCCTTTCTCCTTTTCCATTCCACCCCCTACCAGGACCCTGGTGCTCAGAAGTACTTGCTTCCAGCAGAAGACAACTTAATAGGGAGGGTGTCCAAGAGAAGGCTGATGATTGGCCAGATTCTTACACTTGTGCACCAATGGGAAGAATTGTTAATGTTCTGCCCTCCAAATCTGCCTAAATAATAGCCAGCGCAGTAGGCCACGCCTGCGTTCCCAGCATTGGGGAAGGTGGAGGCAGAAGAATCAGCAGTTCCAGGTTATCCTCAGCTACACTAATTTGAGGCTAGTCTGCCTCAAAAACCAAAAGAAAAGAAAAGGAAAGGAAAGGAAAGGAAAGAAAAGGAAAGGAAAGGAAAGGAAAGGAAAGGAAAGGAAAGGAAAGGAAAGGAAAAAGAAAAGACAAGAAAAGAAAAAAAAAAGAAAAGAAATCACCATTGTGAAGAGTGTGCAGAGGGAGGCAGGGAAGTAAGGAGAGGCTAAGCAGAGAGGCTGAGTCTGACTTGCTGCCTGAAAGAGGACCAGCATCATCCTGCCTTCCTGGCAGGCTCAGATGTGGCCACCCTCTGGCTACAGACAGAAAAGATGCTCTGAAGCAGACCTTTGGGGCCAGGCAGGCGTGCAGCCCACCTTCCTGGGTAAGAGCCTTGATTCTGCCCTGTCAGGCTCTGCTACCCCAGGCAAGCTCAGGAGTGATCATCAGTTTTCCTCTGCAACACAGATAAGATCTCCCAGGATTGATGACTAAGGCTTGCAAAGAACTGTAAGCAATGCGTCAGCCCCTGCAAGCACGCATGCTTCCCAGCCAGGTCAGTGGACCAAGGCAGGAGGAAGCACTGCTCTGCAAGCTCCGGCTGACGTGGCCCCTCTGCTGACCTCTTTGCAGTAGCCAGGGTTGATCTGGGCTCTGCCCCTGGGGGGCTCCCTGCTGACACTATCACATGCTGGCCAGGATGAGGGACTCTGGACATATGTGACTCATGGGGGAGCATCCAGACAGAGTCCAAGAAATGTGGGCCAAGTGTGCAGATGTGCCCCAGGGACTGGCCACAGCTGCTCCAAGATGCTTCCTGCAGCCAGAGCTTGCTCTTCTGTCCCTCCAGCACTTGCTGTCCTGACTACATGGCTTCTGACATGACCCAAGCACAGGGACGCTTCCCTTTAAGACACCTTTATCATTGTTCACATCTTGTTTTGCTCAGGTTTGGTTGTGAGTTTTTGAAATCAGGTCTCGTGGGATCCAGGCTGGTCTTGAACAGACTGTATAGTTAAGGATGATTCTGAACTTCTAATTTTCCTGTCTCTACCTCCCAAGTATTAGGATTAAGAATGTGCACATGATCTGGAGTACTGGTTTAGTCTCCGAAATTATCCTGGAGGGACAATAGCTGCTAAGGCCATCAAGAACATGTTACTGGGCAAAGTGGCACACAACTTTAATCCCAACATTTAGGGGACAGAGAAAGGCAGATCTCCATGAATCTGAGACCAGCCTGATCTACATATTCAGGCCAGCCAGAGAGATTACATAGTAAGAAACTTTTTTTTTTTTTAAGTCAGCAAGATGGATCAGTGAGTAAAAGCACTTGGCCACCAACCTGATGACCTCAGCTTAGCCCCCAGGCCCTGCATGGTGGAAGGAGAGACCCAGTTCCTGTAAATAATCTTCCGACTTACACACACATGCCATGGGACATAAGCACTGCTCCCAAATACAAATAATCGATAAATAAACTCTAGCCAAGGCAGGCGTGGTGGTTTAGATCTGTAAGCTACTTAGGAGGCTGAGGCAGAATGACTGCAAGTTCAAAGCCAGCCTGGGCTTGAGTTCAAGGGCAGCTTAGGCAACTTGGCAAGCGCCTGTCCTAAAGTTAAAAGTGAGACGAGGCCTGGGGTTGTAGCTCGGCGGCAGAGTGCTTGCCCAGCATTTTCAAAGTCCTGGGTTCAGAAGGCAACAGCAAATACAAAATAGTCCTTTCTGGTAGTCCAGAGAGACGTCCTTCATGTCCTTCAATGTCAATCAGCTCTCCACATCTGAGAGAGGAGGTGGCTGCGAAGTCTTTGCCTTCATATCTGTCTCCTCACTCCAAGGAGCTCCCCACCTTACCCAGCCAATTAACAATCAACCAACCACCACCCCACCACCTCTCTCTCTCTGAAAGGAAGAAGCCTTGGCCATGTTCACCAGGCCTTAAGTTCATTGGGCCTCAGCCCCTTCAGTCCCCCTGACCCCCAGTCGCCTTCTCAGGATCTTCAGGCCCCCGGAGAAAGGTATCCAACAATGCCAGGAGCCAGCCACAGAAGTACTCGATCGACCCCACAGAAGCTTGTGAACTCCTAAGACTGAGCCAACGTTATGAGACTCCCATCCCCAAGGCCCCGGGGCCCTTATCTCACCAGATCCCCACCCTGGGCTCCAGGCCAGGAGCTCGATGTCCTGAAGTAGGCCTGCTGACCTCCACCCTCCTCAGGCCACCCACAGGGCTGTTTCCCACCCACCCACACTGTTCCAGGCTGCCTCCCTGCTCTTGTCTCCTGCCTTCCTTCACCGTTGGCTGGACAAACTTCTGTCTGAGTAAAATCTTTCTTGGAGCCACAGAGACATCCCCCGACTTAATCTCTATATCTTACCCTATACCTGGGCCCTGGTGCTGATGTCCAACCAGAGTGGAACCTGTCCCTTTCCTGCGCCACAAACAAATTAGCCATAGCATGAAGACTAGTGCTTCTCAACTTTCCTAATGCTACGACCTTTTGATACAGTCCCTCATGTTGCCCTCATACCCCAAAATTATTTTTGCTGTTACTTCATAACTATAATTTTGCTATTGTTATGAATCATAATGTAAGTATCTGATATGCAGGGTATCTGAAGTGTGACCTCTGCAAAAGAGTCATTTGACCCCTAAAGGGGTCAGGACCCACAGGTTGAGAACCACTGATGAAGACACCTGTGTCCCCATACAACCCTCTGACTCATTTGTACAGGAGTCCTTTCTTTGACAGGTATATCTACTCTATAGCTGCCACCAACCTGTTGGTCACTCGTTCACTGGTATGGTGATTGAATAGACTGTGGCAGGTACCATGAAGCTCATGGCCAGGGCCCTATCTGTAATCGTAAGTACCCAGTGTGGTCTCAGAATCTATCACCTGTAGACAAGAGATCCATATATCCATTCATCCCCCTCCCTGAAGACTCTGCTTTGAACAGGGCCTGCTCACCTGGCTTAAGGACATGGTGTCTGGGTGGTCCTTCTCCTAGTGTGGTGCCTGAGTAAAGCTGGGTCTTCTCTTATCCCTCTGACCTTGGCTTAGACTGTCCACTATTACCATTGCTGGAAGCTGCACCATCCTCAGAGGTGACACCCTCCCCCCCCCCCACCCCCGCTCACACACTAGACATTACCTCTGCATTATGTGTCCTTAATACAGCCTGAGGAAAGGATCAGTTGCTCCCTGCAA